GACCCCTTGTCAGGGCCATAGCCTTGACAGTGGCTGCTTCCCTTTATGGTTAAGTTCCAATGGTGACTCCAGGAAAGCTCTTTTTTTTTTAAATTTTTTTTAAAGAATTTATTTATTTATTTGACAGAGATCACAAGTAGGCAGAGAGAGAGAGGAGGAAGCAGGCTCCCCACTGGGCAGAGAGCCTGATGCGGGGCTCGATCCCAGGACCCTGAGATCATGACCTGAGCCGAAGGCAGCGGCTTAACCCACTGAGCCACCCAGGCGCCCCTCCAGGAAAGCTCTTGACAACTTTTGGGACACTGCTTTCTCTCCTTGCCCCTTGTTAAGGAAAACATTATTCTGACACTTGCTAAAATGGTAAGGAAGACTTTGTTCAAGACTGTTACTCTGGGGGTATTGCAACAGTGAAGAAAAACCCAGCTCAGCTTGGAACACAACAAGGACCAGTGGAGATTTATGGCCAAGGAGCAGGGTGATGGGGACAGGGGAAAGAAAATCATTAAAAGGAGACATCAAGAGGCGCCTGGGTGGCTCAGTGTGTTAAGGCCTCTGCCTTCGGCCCAGGTCATGATCTCAAGGTCCTGGGATCGAGCCCCGTATTGGGCTCTCTGCTCAGCAGGGAGCCTGCTTCCTCCTCTCTCTCTCTGTGTCTCTCTCTGCCTGCCTCTCTATTTGTGATCTGTCTGTCAAATAAATAAATAAAAATCTTTAAAAAAAATAAATAAAAAGAGGAGACATCAAGGGTGGGAGATTCTTGCTAGCAGGACTTAGCAGGATTCTTGCAGAAGGCAGGCCAGGATTGAGACACCAGAGGTGGGAGATGAGGAACTTAATCAGAAATCAAGGATGGTCATCTATCAAGAGATGGAAGGGGGAAAAAAATAGAGTTGAAGGGATTCTCACTAAGCTGAGGATGGTGGGACTCTTGCTGAGACTGGGCTGGGCAGGCCAGAGACAAGAGGGGTCCTGGCCTAGAAGAGAAGAGGGCTCTGAGGAGTTGAGCTCAAGTCTCATCAAAGAAAGAGTTTTGCCATCCTTTTCAGGTTCGTCATTGCTAGTCCCTGGCACCTCACTGTCCCTTGTTGGTTCCCTTAACCTTTCCCACACCCCGGCACCTCAATGATTCTTTCATTAAACACTCTTCAGTGAAACCACCTGTGCAAAGTGTTCTCCCTCTCCTGCCAGGTTATGGCTGCTGGTTCCGCCACCCCCACAGGGCTGTTTTAAGGGTCAAATAAGATGATGCGTACCAAAACACTTTGGAAGCTGGAGGGTAATAAAGTCATGTTCATAATGGAAAGGAATCCTAGTACAGTGCAAAAGATAAAGGCAGAGGCTTTGCCCTCAGTCCTGGGTTCAAATCCTGCCCCTGCCCCCTTGCTAGCTGTGTTATTGGAGGTGAGTACTTATCTTCCCTAAGCCATGAGTTCCCATCTCATTGATCAAGGAAAGTAAACATTGCTCATACAATCCTGGAGGACTAGCTATGGTAACACACTCTAGGTTCTCCAGCTAGCACCTGGCAGGTGCTAACTACCTTGTTAATTCCCTCCCTCTTTCCTTCCACCCCTATTATGAAACTGTTTTCTCAGATAGGTTTTCTAAGGCCACTAACTGCATCGGTGGCTTGTAAATGGGCTTCTCATTAAACACTTCAGACCCTTTTCTCAACGCTCTGAGAGGCAGAGCCTCCCATATAAGGAAGAATGGCGTGCCACAGGCCAGAATTTATTAAATGTCCAGAACAAATGTGGTTCTGCTATTTCACCGGAGATCATGAGGCTCCGGTACAGAGCACAGATTCCATTTTTGTATTGTTTTCTTGACATTTCTTCCTATCAAAAAAGCAATACACACAGTGGTTACAGAAAATATTTGAGCAACACGAAGTCTATACAGTAAAAATGGCAAGTCCCCATGGCATGCGTTTCTGATGTACATTTAGGGAGCAACAACATTCTTTCCAGCCTGAGTCTTGAACCATTTAAGAAATAAGCTCAGTGGGTTAAGCCTTCGCCTTCGGCTCAGGTCATGATCTCAGGGTCCTGGGATCGAGCCCTGCTTTGGGCTCTCTGCTCAGCAGGGAGCCTGCTTCTCCCCACCCCCACCTGCCTCTCTGCCTACTTGTGATCTCTGTCTGTCAAATAAATAAATAAAATCTTAAAAAAAAAAAAAAAGAAAGAAGCTCAAGACAGATAAGGTCAAATATCACTTTCATGAGCAATAAAGCTGATCTTGGAGTATGCGTTTATACCTGTGGGCAAGCGGGTTTTCTGAAACTGAACTGCAGAATTACTTAGACCACCTTGTCACTGGTGATACTGGATGAACATAGGCAGAGCCTTGACCAGTCTTGACCTGGGGAGGATGATCCACTTATAGGCTTTCTGCAGGTGGGGGAGCTATCAAAGGAAAGGTCTGGGCAGGATGCAGAACCTCATGCCAGTCCTTACCCCAAATGCATGAGTCACATAGAGCTCTCCCCACCTCTGCATGTGTGTGTGTGTGTGTGATAGGGGGAGGGCCTGAATGAGGGGGTACAGAAAGTTCAGGAGGATTATACTAATGGCTGCACTCAGGGAGGAAGGAAACATCAAGGGTGGGGCAGTGTGTTCCCTTTCCACAGACATCATCTCCTATTCTCCACTACCATACTCGTGCTTCCACAAACATCCTTGCACATAGTGCACTGAGTCTTTGGGTGAGTATTTCTGCAGCAGAAGTTCTTACAAAGGAGTTCATGTTCATATATACTTTAGGCTGATATATCCTGGGCATTGACTGTGGACTTGAGAGCTGAAAGCAGTTTTTCCCCCTTCTATTTTTGCTGCGATCTGCCAACCTTACCTTATCAATAGCCTCTTCAGGCAAGGAAGGCTGCTAAGGGCTAGAATATGTTGCTTTGAGAGCAAGTTAGCTTTAAAAAATAATAATATTGTGGTGCCTGGGTGGCTCAATGGGTTAAAGCCTCTGCCCTCGGCTCGGGGTCCTGGGATCGAGACCCCATCGGGCTCTCTGCTTGGTGGGGAGCCTGCTTCCCCCTCTCTCTCTGTCTGCCTCTCTGCCTGCTTGTGATCTCTCTCTCTCTCTCTGTGTCAAATAAATAAAGTCTTTTAAAAATAATAATAATATTAATAAAATAAAATAAAATAAAATAAAATAAAATAAAATAAAGGGTAGATTAGGCATCTAACCAGAGGTCAGGTGCAGAAAATCAGGGTATCAGGGTTAACCAGGCTTTCCCATCTGACCTTTTGAGTTCTGGAGACCCAGCAGCATCATTGACCTTCCTGCACCCTCAGTGCCCTTCTCTGTCAAACAGGCATAATGTCCCTAAGGGGATTGGGGGGAACTCAAGTGGTTGATGTGTACTTAAAGTGTTGGGTCCCCAATGTTGGGTCCGCCAATAATGGGTCTGTGATTAAAGGAGCGAGACTGATACAAAGCGAAGGTCAAGCAAAGCTTTATTTCGCGCCAAGCATCAAGAATCAAACCGAACATTCAGGGCCGCACCTCTTACAAGAGAGGGCGACCTCTCTGTTTCACAGGCTAACTTTTATAGAGCAAAGGCCATGTGGTTGGGCCTGGTCACACACAGGTGGCCAATGAGATTGTAACACACAGAGAAAGCTGCACAATCATGTTAGGTCACACATAAGTGACCAATTGAATTACAATTTACCCTAGTAGACATTTGAACCAGCCTATCACCTTGGTCAGAATTGGCGCCCAAAAGGTGCCCAAAGGGCAGGGCCCATACTCCTTGGTAGCTAAGAGACAGTATTGCCCCCACTGATTGAATACCTCCACCTGACCTGACCCACCCTTGTATTTGGACTTTGTTACGTGGGACTGGTTTCCGGGACTGGTTTTTAAGTAAGTTCCCCTGGCGGGGGTGGGGCGGGGGGGGGCGGGTAGGCAGGGTCAATTTAAGTTCTACAGCATAAACAACAAAATGGCAGTTCAACCAGGATGGGGCCGCTCTGGCTAAATAGACCCTTACAAAAGTGCGGGGAGAAAGGTCAAGATGGAAGAGCCAAGAGGAAAGGAATGGGCACAAAAACAGAGAAAGAAAAAATTGGGTCTGTAAGAGCCACTTAAGGGTACCTTGTACTGAGAGGCTAAAAGCCAGCCTCCAAGTCCTCTGGCACTCAGAGTAGGGAGACCTGCCTGAGGACACCAGGAGCACAAAGCCTCCAGGGGTTCATCTTCAGTGCAGCCCCCCAAAACGCCTGGGTGTCCCACAGGATCCACCTGAGTCTCACCTGATCATTCACACCGCCTTGTGCGATGGCACGCATGGGAATGAAAATTTTCTAGAATGAGCGGGTATGACTTTAATAATGAAACACAAAATGAAAATTGGAGATGGAGTGCCACGTCGCTGTGCCACCCGATAAATGCCAAGGCATTTACGGAGCACCCTCTATGTCTGCAGGGCACTGGCACAACCTTCTTTTAACCCGAATGTGGGTATCAATAGAGGCGAGACGCGAAAAGTTGTCATCCGTCGCTCATCCGCGGGCAGCCAGGGTGAGGCAGAGCTGCCCCGGAACTTAGCGCCCTTTCCGGACTCCGGGGTGTTGCAGCGTTGCAGCTAAGGCAGCGTGCCCTCTCCTGGTCCCCTCCGCCCGGGGGCTGAGCCTGCGGGAGCCGGCTACGGCCCCCCCGCGCCCTCCCTCCTCCTCCTCCTCCTCCTCCTTCTCCTCCCCTGTGCTCCTGGCGCGCCGTCCCCCTGCCAGACGGGGCGGGGTGGAGGAGCGCCGGCAGCGCCGCGCGTCCTTATCCATGGGCTGGGCGGCTTAGCGCTCCGCCACCTCTTCCGAGGAGGAGCAGTCGTGGGGCTCACCGCGGGTCGGGTGACCCACCCATGGCTCCTCCGGACGCGTCGACCGGCCGGGGCGCGGGACCCCGCGGAGGGCGCTGAGCTCCAAGGCCGCGGGGTGCGCACAGGTGGGCGGCCGTCGAGGCGCCCCTCGGGGAGCGCGCGGGGCACCATGCGTCCCCGCTTGCTGCTGTGGCCGCCGCCACCGCTGCTGCTACTGCTGGCCTGCGCTGCGCACACGGTGAGTACCGCTCCCCTCCACGGGTCCCACGCGGAGTGGCCGTGGGGGAGTCCCCAGATCTTCCGCCGAGCAGGGGGAACTCTTACACCCCGTTGCTCCCCCTCCAGGATCATCTCTATCAGCTCCTCGCCATATAGCCTCGCCCCCAGAGTAAAACAGCAAGTGCGTAGGGCAAAGCGAGTCTTAAGATAAACGCCATCCCTTCCTTCAGGCTGTGCCTCGACGGAAACACTGGAGACGCCCCGGCAGAGCCCATTGTGCGCTGGGCACTCTGCCTCAATTATTTCATTGAAACCTCCTGATCGGCTGTCCAGGTTGATATTGTCACCCCCTCTCTTTATGAACTGGGAAACAGAGACTCTAAGAGACCAAAAAATCTTGCCCTAGGGAAAGTTGATTGGAACCCAGGTCTGTCGGTCCCAAAGCCTTGACATTTTCTCTCTCTCTCTCTCTCTCACACACACACTCACACACACACACACACACACACACACACACACACACACGCACGCACACACACATGCACACACACGGGCTGCAGAAAAGAAAACCTCAGAAAGCTCTGGCTGGAACATCTGGAGTCTATGGTGGGACCGTTTGCAGCTCCCTCCCTCCCCTTTGGGATCTGGCTCCCTAATGTCTGAATGTCTGGGGGCTCCAGGGAGGAGCTGGAAAAGAAGAGAAAGGCAGAGGGGGTGGCTTGTTTTCCTTTCCCACTGGAACTCCTTGGAATCCAGGGCCTCTCCCACTGGGATTTGTGAATGAGTGGCTGCACCCAGACAGCCAGGATGGAAGGAATGGGGAGGGGGTGGTGGTGTGGGAAGTGTGCGTGTGTGGAGGGGGGGATGCAAATTCCATAACCACTTCTTCCCACCAGCATTCCAAACTGGCCCTCAAGGCCTCTGTCCCAAGAACTCCCCAGGAAAAGTGCTTGGGGACCCAATTCAGAGTCTCCAGTCTCTGTCCTGGGTGAGTCCTTCCTGGTGTCCAATGACCTTGTCTTCCTGTAGTCCTCTCCTGGTTGATTATAAGAAAAATGTTCCCTCCCAGAGCTAATGGGAATGTTGATACTCACAGCTTGGTGACATTCTAGCAGCCGTAGTTTGGAAAAGTAGAATTTAGGACCCTCGTTCCCAGGTCCCTTGTAACCCTGGAGCCTCTTCTCACCAGTGGCAGGGCCTGGTGGTTGGAAGATGCTAGAACAATAGTACCCACTCACTAATCTGAACTCCCAGTGTGGGGAAATGCCACCCAGGACGCTGGGGACAGTTCAAAGCCTCTGGGTATGTTGTTACTCAGTGCCCAGGGATGGAAGAGCTAATAGTTTCCCCCTTATCACCTTCCCCTCTCCTTCCTAATTAAGTATTTGCAGTAACCCTGAGGTTGTCAGAAGAAATCACCAGGTGGCTTGGCCTCAGGACTGAGATTGTACCTACATTTTTAGTCTCAGGGGGACCCCAGGTTATGTCAATAATAAGCAGAGGGGGAAATGAGAGCTTTCACTTGGTGCGAGTCTTCAGTGTGCCTTGGAAGGCTTCTTCCTGATCCTCTGGTTCAATTCCCTTGTTTTACAGATGAGCAGATTGAGACCCACAGAGAAAAGAGAGCTGCCCTGAGCCAGCAAGTTAGCAGCGGAGCTGGGGCTAGAACCCAGATCTCTTGATCCTGGTCACCCAGGGCACTCTCCCTTACGTTCTTGGTCTTTATATGTCATTTTCATACACTCATGTCCTGCCTTGTATTATCACAAGATGGTTTTCCTGTGTCTAAGTCTCCATCCTCTGGGTATTTTATGGGCTTATCCAGACCTGAGTTCTTATACTTCTTGGCAAGAACTCTTTTAATAAATAAGAATAGAACTGACCTACTTTGGTTGGAGTATTTCCCAGCCTTTGAAACCCTGTTTACCTTCTGTTTCTTTGACTCAAACACTTGATTTAGAGATTTAAGGACATTTGAACAATTTTTTATTCATTCGGTTCCCCCATTGAATGAGGTTATAGGCATCTTCCTAACGAGGCATCATTAGGCCAAATTGCTTATTACTGCTACCCAGCCTACCCCCTTGCCTTTCCACACAGTGAAGGGGTGTCAGGAAGGTCACTTGTAAATGGAAACCAGAAAGTGACTATGGCTGAAGGGGCCAGTTTTCTGAGACCTCCGTAGGAAACGTGGATCACGCCTCCCTTTGCTGTCCCACTCCCATGAATCTCATGAGGACCTTTAATTGGAACGAGATCAAGATTATTCACCAGCACATCTGTCCCTGTCCTGCTCCCCAGTATGAACACTTTGAGATGTTGTCTCATTCATCCTCTCTCCCTAGAGCCCGTCACAGTGTAAGGAGGAGCTCAGTGAGCGTGTGTTGGTTGAATGAATGAATGAAATGATGACATCCCAAAGGAGTGTCCTAAACTGGGGCACTTCCATATGGTGCCAAGTAATAAACAAGGACATCTTGAAGGCAAGTTGCTTAGAAAATTGTACATAAGTGTATCAGGCCAATGCAAAACAGTCACTCAAGGTAAGGCTTTTTAAAATCCTTGGCAGCTGGCAAACCGCCAGCTTGATAACCTTAGTGAATTAAATGGGGTGGAGAGGGCTGCCTTTTCCTTCAAGTGAGGTTTCTTAACTTTGACACTGTAACCCTGGATATTAAATCTGGGCTTTCAGCAAGGGGTGCCAGGAAGGGAGCTCGGCCCTCCCTCAGCATAGAGAAAGCCATAGGGAAGAAATGATGGGGACACAGAAGAAAGAGGGGAATCACAGATTTCTTTGTCATGGGGGACTTTCCCGTGAATTGTGTGCCATCTAGCACCATCCCTGGCCTTTGCCCACTAGAAGCCAGTAGCACCTCTCCATGTCGTGCCCACAGAAAAATGTCTCTAGACGTTGCCTGATGTCATCTGGGAAGCAGGAGGGCGGAACTCCCCCTGTCAAGAAACACTGTCTTAAGGCTTGTCCTGTGTCAGGGGAAAGGCACAGGCAGAACTAGCAATAGTGGTTTATTGCATGTGGGATTCAGGACCATGGGTTTGGTGACAGGGAATCGGAGCCAGATACCCGATGAACACCCACTTGCAGACAAAATGGCTTGTGCAACAATGGGCTTGATCTTCTCCAGCCTCCTTCTCGCTTTCCCTCATCTCTCCATCCTGTCTCAGTGGATGGCTCAGAGACAGAAAAAGTCCTGGCTTGGAGGAACAGCCCATGATGCTCCTGCTTCCGGGGGCTGACAAGCTCTGTGACAACCGGAAGCAGAATTTCAGGAAGACCAGCGAGGGTCACCTGAGGAGCTGGCTATGGACAACTCTTCAGAGGAGGCTCTCTGGGATTTTTTTGAAAGAATTTATTTATTTATTTGACAGAGGTAGAGCGAGCGCACAAGCAGGGGGAATCGCAGGCAGAGGAAGTGGGAGAAGCAGGCTCCCCTCTGAGTGGAGAGCCTGACGCGGGTCTCGATCCCAGGACCCTGGGATCATGACCTGAGTCAAAAGCAGACGCTTAACCCACTGAGCTACCCAGGCGCCCCTGGGATTTTTTATATTCCTGAAAAATCACCTTCTCTTTTTCTGGGGAAATATTTGTGGATTTCTTTTGGAATTGTTACTATCTCTAAGATAAATGTGAATCATGAGGAAGTTGGTAAGGACTTCCTTTATCCAGCACTCCCGTCACCAGATACTCACCCAAGTCCTTGCCCGCAGCATCTGACTTTATTCTCATAACCCTCATTGTGCAGAAGAAGCAGCGGAGGCTCAGAGAGGTGAAGCCATTAGTCAGGGCCGCCCACCCAGATGCCCAGATGTGATGTGAGGACCCAACTCCGGGATTCCTAACCAGCACCGGCATCTCCCAGAAAGAGGCCTGCGCTGGTCTCTGTCCCCAAGGGGCTGTCACAAAATTCTCTCCCAATTCACTCTCAAAGTGACATTCATTTCTGTTTAATTTAATCAATTTATAAAACACAAAGATGAATTACACCAGCATTTTATTAAAGGGGCCAGAGATGAGCTTGGGGTCACAAAATCAATCAACCAGGTGGTGCACTTCCCAGACTCTTTAGGGATCTTCTTCTCTTAGCTTTGGTATCATCTTTCAGTGGTCCCATGGAGCCCACCTCTCCACCTGGTCCCCTGCCCTATGGCTTCCTCTAGCCTGCTGCAGGGAGGAGGGAGGGCGGAGCTCTCTTCCTAGCACCCGTCCTTTTTTTTTTTTTAAGATTATTTATTTATTTGACAGACAGAAAACACAAGTAGGCAGAGAGGCAGAAGAGAGAGAGGAGGAAGCAGGCTCCCCACCAAGCAGAGAGCCCAACATGTGACTTCATCCCATGACCCTGAGATCATGACCTGAGCCGAAGGCAGAGGCTTAACCCCCTGAGCCACCCAGGCGCCCCCTGGTACCCGTCTTTGAAAGCCCCTACTTCATAACCAGGGTGAGAGCGACACCACCACAGTGGCGCTCTCCAGTGTCCTGCAACTTGCTCCTCGCTTCCCTGCCTTTATTTAGCAAGCCAAGGTTTCTCCCCACTGACCTTCACTCAGGTATTGGGACAACCTGCAGCCCAAGGTAAAACCCACAACACTCAGATCCTATCTTCTTGCTTACATTACAAACAGGGCTGCTCAGCCTTCCTGTGGACTCCAGAAAATAATAATATCCCAAGGCCCAGTCAGCCTCAACATTCCGTGTCCAGAAGATTCCAAGGGGCATTTGGGGAAGGGACATCTCTGCTTGGCCATGTCCTGAAGTCCCAGCACACCATGCTGCCAGCATTCCCAAGTTTTCCTGTCTTTTCTAGAATCCTCTGGATGTCCGGCATCGATCCCTCACTGGTGGGCTCTCCCTGATATCTATGTTCCTGACCTCACCAACCCCTCTTTCATTTTCAATAGACAAGCTTATCTCTTATTTCCTGAGAGTCAGAGAATGAACTTCCTCCGACCAACAAACATCTGGTTCTTATAGACGTATCTAAATTGCACCCTCCTGGGACA